ATCTAATTTAATATGGGAAAAATAATCATATTTTTAAATTCTACTCTACATCTATGAAGAAACATCTCTTATTATGAATTATTTCAGAATCTTGTTACAGACAGACTGCATTTTAACAACCCAATTCATAATTTGCTAGAAAAGATAGTAAACAGAAAAATCAGATTAAAAGGTTTTATGTTACCACATCACAAAATAAAACAGGACAGATTCTCACCAGAATTAGAGGGCATTCTGTGTAGCACATAGAAAATTCACTTTGAAGGATCACAGAAAAATCCAAGGTGGAGAGGTAGGAAACAGTGGCATCTCAGAAGGCAACCTTCTTCCAAAGATGCTGCAAGACTCCATTTGAAATGCAGCCATTTTCTCACAAAAGAAACTAGCATGCTTCAGAATGAACTGCACCAGGGATTTGTTAATTTCATGATGGCTATGTGTCCAGCAATTCAGGGGAAGTCAGCCAGTAGATATTAACATTCATCATTCACAAATTCGTTTAACAAATATTTATGATTGCCAATTACATGCCAGGAATTATGTCAGACACTGAATTTACCATAATTAGTGAAACATACATAGCCCTTGATCTCAAAGAGCTTATAGTCTAGGATGGAAAGCCAACACTGAAAAATTAACCCAGGTATTACATGTAAACCATAGTAAGTGACAGAAAAGTAAGTTCGTTCTAAGAGTTGGTAGTTGGGGAACTGAATTTACATGGTAGGGGAAAGATCAGAGGAAGCCTCCTTGAGAAAGTTACATTTAAAGTGTGATGCAGGGGCGCCTGGGTGACTCAGCTGGTTAAGCGTCTGCCTTTGGCTCAGGTCATGATCCCAGAGTCCAGGGTTTGAGCCCCACATTGGGCTCCCTGCTCAGCGGGGAGTTTGATTCTCTCTCTCCCTCTGCCGCTCCCCCTGCTTGCGCTCTCTTCTCTCAACTAAATAAATAAAATCTTTAAAAACAATTTTTTTAAAAAAGAACCAAGTGTGATGCAAAGGCGAGAAAGGAGTGATTTCCCTAGCCAAGGACAAAGCAAGCAGCACTGATGGAGGAACTGAAAGAGGAAGAGTGGAGCAAAAAGAGTAAGAAGTGCTGTACCGAGTACACACTGTTTTGCAAACACATTAATTCCAATCTTTGCAGCACTCTGGGGTGAAAGTATTGGCATCCCGTTTATATACAAGGAAAGTGTATTCTTACTCAAGAATACAGAGTGCTGCTAAATTGAGGGGGAAAACTCAAAGTTTGGTCAAATTTCAGGCTATACATTCCTTTTATTAAGGCTCTAAGGTTAGAAGGTTTAATAATTTAATCCTCACCAAATGGGATTAAAGTTCTAGGTCTATAAAATATAAAGTTAAATATTTTATATTCCATCCTTTAGACATACATTCCAGTTTCTGTGGGTTTTATATTTGAAAAGCCATACTTCTATGTGTATCCAAACTACGACTTATGCACATATATATAGTTAGTTTAAATGGCTTTTAAAATCTTTCTAGCAAAGCTTTTAAAGCAATTTAAGGTTATATAAAAATATGAAAACCAACATTAGTATGATCCTTTAAATTCTACAGAGTACTTACATAAATTTCAGCATATTTAAGAAGATAACTGGCTTACTATTGGAACTATAATGATCACATATTAGATAACATAAATGTTTCTAGATATCTCCTCTCTTTAACGAAAGCTAGAAAGAATGTTTTCATTAATTGTTAATACTTCTAATTTCCTATTGTAGACAGAATAATGACCCCCCAAAGATGTTGGCACCCTAACCCTTGGGTCTTATGAATGTTACCTCACATAACAAAAGGGGCTTTAAAGACGGAACTAAGGTGGTTACTTAGCTGACCCTAAAATAGAAGGAATATCCTGGATTATCTAGGTGGGCCCAATACAATTACATGCGCCCTTAAAAGTAGAAGAGGAAGTCCGTGAGAGATGGGTAGAAGAGATATGAAGAGCGAGAGGGACTCCACCCACCAGACAGACCTTGAAGACAGAGGAAGGGAGCCATGAGCCAAGGAATGTGAGTGGTCTCTAGAGGCTGAAAACAGTCCTCAGCGGACAGTCCTACTGAACTAGAGAAAATAAATTTGTATTGCTTTAAGATGCTACATTTGTGGTAATTAGTTATGGCAGCCATGACAACTAATACTTTTATTATTCCTGAGCTCCTTGATTATAGCTTCTTTGAAACCGTTGCTACAAACAAAGTCTTAGCTGATAAGTACAATAACATTTTTCTATTCTATTGCCTTACTGCTCCTCCTGACTGCCTCCTTCTTGGAACCATCTCCTCCCTTGGTTTTCTTGTCACCATTCCTGATTCTTTTATTTTATTTTTTTAAGATTTTGTTTGTTTGAGAGAGAGAGACACAGCAAGAGAGGGAACACAAGCAGGGGGAGTGGGAGAGGGAGAAGCAGGCTTCCTGCGGAACAGGGAGCCCGATGCGGGGCTTGATCCCAGGACCCTGGGACCATGACCTGAGCTGAAGGCAGTCGCTTAACCAATTGAGCCACCCGGGTGCCCCACCATTCCTGATTCTTGATTCTCTTCCTTTTCTCTGCCTTGTGCACAGGCACTTTCTGCAATCTTCTGTAAATGTTGCTATTCCTTAGAGTTCTGTCCCCAGACCCTCTTCTCACAAGACATATACTCTTGGCTTCTACCTATAAAAGCTAGCCAGGGACTCACAAATCTTATCCACAGCTCAAAAGTCACTCAATTTCAAATCACTATCCATCTTCAAGGATATCCCAAAGCTTCTCCTAATTTGAACTTAGTCTTTCCTCCCAAACCTGCTTCTCTAGCTCCTGAACACTCTTCCTCCATTAACTAACTGTACCTCCAGTCAAGTAAACCGGTCAAGTTACTTTGCCATTATCTTAAGATTATTCTTTCTCACGGATCCCTTATGTCATTGGTAGCTGAACACACTTGGGCATTTCTTAAATGTCTTGTTCTATCCCCAAGCCATAGCCTGATTTAGGAATCTATCATTTCTGAAGTAGATTAGCAAACTCCCACTTTGCCTCTTCACTTCCAGTCTTGCCAATCTCTAAATCTTTCCTCCACCTTCTCTCTAGCATGAGTTTTCTAAAACAAGTCTTATTTTATTGTTTATAAAAATGTACAGCAGCTCTCTGCAGTTCTCAGCATAAATTCTGTCCTTTTAAGACTCATTTATTTCACTCTCTTCAACATTCACCTATGTAATACATTAATGCTATTCTGTATGCTGTATCTTATAACCGAGATGCCTTTCTGCTGTTCATTTCCAATGGCTGACTGAGGACTCACCCAACACTGGTATGCCTCAAAAGTACAGTTTGAAAATCACTATTTTTAAAGTTTTAGTTGTCCTGCAGTTTCAGGAGGAACTCAACTACAGAATGATATAATAGAAAGTACACTGAACTTGGCACCATCACACCAAGCTCCTAGTTCTATTATTAAAAAGGCAAGAGGTTAAAACTGCCTGGGGCTTGTTTTTTCATTTGTCAAGTGAAAGGGTCAAACTAGATGATTTAAAGGTCCATTAAAATTGACAATTCTAACTTTCTAATTAAGAGCACTAAAACTTACTAGGCCCTGAAAAGCAGTAAGGCTAACTTATAACACTGTTCAATTTCTAGAGATCCATCAACATACTTACATGGTTCATACATAATAATTAACTTTATCAACTAGATAATATAGATTATCTTGCTCTAAGGCTTTGGGGATAGGTCTAAATGGTATTGGAAGATCAAACCAACTAAACGTGAAGGCAGAAATGTAAAGCGAAAAAAGGCCAATTTACAATTACCAAAGGAAGGCTACCTAGAGTGATTAAATGACCTAGAGTGATGTAAAAATTTTAAAAGCAAGCAAAATCTTAAGACTAGATCAGGGCTTTTTTTTTTTTTTTTAAAGATTTTATTTATTTATTTGAGAGAGAGAATGAGAGAGAGCACATGAGAGGGGGGAGGGTCAGAGGGAGAAGCAGACTCCCCGCCGAGCAGGGAGCCCGATGCGGGACTCGATCCCAGGACTCCAGGATCACGACCTGAGCCGAAGGCAGTCGCTTAACCAACTGAGCCACCCAGGCGCCCAAGATCAGGGTTTTGATGGCTTTAATGAACCAAAAAGTTTCAAAACAAATTAACTTTTTTTCTAATTTGAGACTTCCCATGGTCACTTTCTCTCCCCCCCTTCTGAGCTTTGTTGCCACTTGCTTTTTTTTTTTTTAAATCCCAAGCAAATGCCTCCTCCTTGTTGCTCGGGCGTTGCTATAAATAAAATCAGCTAAAGTGTCCGACTGATCGTAAACAGGTTTGGGGCGATAATGAGTCTATAGTAATTAGGGCTTCAGTGGATTCAACCCAACCCTCCCGCTCCCTCCCTGGCGGCGCACACCGGGCTCCAGGCAGCGCATCTAGGGAGTGGCCACCCTGCTAAGATGGTTGGGTCTCTTCGCCTTCAGAGAGGCGGGGACTGCGTAAGCCGAGCCTTTTTAGGTTTTGTTCACGTTTTCGTGCAAACTGCGAGTGGGGTGAGCTGCGCCCAGACACTCCCCGGCCCTCCGTACACCCCTCGGGAGCGCGCGCCGGGGCTCGAGCTTGGAACGGGGCTGAAATGGTAACCGCTGGAGTAACGGACTCGGCTCCCTGGGGCCGCTCAAGCCCTCGGGGACAGGTCGGGGTGGAGAAGGCACCAGCCTTCCCCGCGCCCCAGCCCCAGCCTCAGCGCAGCGGGTGGACCCAGCAGCTCCGGAGGACCCAACGGACCCGGCGTGGCACCAACTCCCCCCACCCGTGGCTGGCTTTCCTCCTCCCGAGGCCGGGAGAGCGCACCCAAGAACCTCGCTCGGGGCACCTCCATCCCCGAACTCAAAAGCCAGCCCCTCACCCGGCCCCAACCTGTTCAGCCTGGCGGGTCGCCAGAGAAAGGGGTGCGGCCAGGAATCCCCGCCCTGGGCGTGGAAGCAATGACTCTCATTCCTTACCCTAGCCCGAGCGCGAAGAGCAGCAGGGAAGTGGCCTACTGCCCACGCACCTGTCCGGCGGGCCCGTTTTCGGCAGTGGCAGCTCAGATGTCCGAGTCGCTGCCACTTGGTCCCCGCACTTCCCCAGACCAATCCGCCGGCGGCCGCTCAGCAGCGACTGCTAACCGCGCATGCGCGTGCGGCCGCAGGCGGGGAGCAGGCGGTGGCCGGAGGCGCGGGCCGCGCGCACCTGAACCCAGGGGCTCAACCGCCGCGGAGGGGCGCTGCTGGGCGAGGCCTGCCCTGAGCTGCGGAGCCCGCCATAAAGCGCGCCCTTGGGGCTCGCGCCAGCTCCGCCGGCCGGTTGTGGGGTGGACGGGTCTCCTGGACCGGGAGGGCACGATTTCCTCATTAGCCCGAAGACTTTCTCCCCACGAGGAGCACTTGTCCTCTGCATTCAGAGGGGGTCCGCCTGCTATTGCGCATAAATGGGTCCTGAGTTTTATATAAATCACGTTTCTGAACAGTGCCCACTTAGTACCCCAGGCTTTTCATAGAATTCTATATGTTAAGAGACGAGAAGTCGGGGCGCCTGGGTGGCTCAGTCGTTAAGCGTCTGTTTTCGGCTCAGGTCATGATCCTGCGGTCCTGGGATCGAGCCCCGCATCGGGCTCCCCGCTCGGCAGGGAGTCTGCTTCTCCCTCTCCCACTCCCCCTGCTTGTGTTCCTGCTCTCGCTGTCTCTCTCTCTGTCAAATAAATAAATAAAATCTTAAAAAAAAAAAACACGAGAAGTCATTGTGATCCTCGGGGAGGCTTCCTATTCCGTGTGGGTGTGTATGATAAATATAGATCTATTAAATGTTGACATAATAAATACATTTTCTTTCCGAAATACTATTAGTAAGAATTGGTAACATTTATTGCGCTCACTGTACTCTAGGGACTTTACATTCATGATTTCATTTAACCATCACAACAACCCAGGTGAAGGAACTAAAGATAATTACTTGCCCGAACCTTTGATTAACAAATAGGGCTCAAATCCAGGTCTGTCTCTCCCAGAGCCTGTACTTTTAATCAACACACCAAAAATAAAAATATAGCACAAAGGTAGGATTGAATCATAAGCTTCTTTGCCCCACTGATGGTTTACCATGCAGCTTTCTCTAATATTTTATAGTAAATCTTGACTGATTTTGAATAGCTGGGATGTATGGTAGGCATATGTTTAACTGTTTAAGAAAATGCTGAGCTGTTCTACGTTCCTACCAGCAATATAGTATGAGAGTTCCAGTTATGCTACGCTTTCACCATTGCCTGGTATGGTCAGTCTTAACCCTTCCAGAGGTCGATCAATGATGTCTCGTTGTGGTTTTATATATATATTTCTTTAAGATTTATTTATCTATTTGGGAGACAGAGTGAGAGAGAGTGCGAGCAGGGGAAGGGGCAGAGGGAGAGAGAGAGAGAATCTCAAGCAGACTCCCTGCTGAGTGCCCAGCGGACATGGGGGGATCTCAAGACCCTGAGATCATGACCTGAGCAGAAATCAAGAGTTTGTCGCTCAAGCCACCAAGCCACCCAGACGCCCCTCACTGTGCTTTAAAATGCTATGTAGTTTTCTTATATATTACCAAATCTCCTCCTTAGGAGTTATATCATTTTTTATCCCCATTAACAGTGTATGAGAATGTTTATTTCCACATAACCTCACCCAACAGAATGCGCTGTCAAGCTTTTGGGATCACAATAAAATTGTAAGTTAACTTAGGAAGAACTAACATCAGATGTCCTATCCAAGAAGAGAAAAGCCTATTTGCTTGAGTCTCTTGAATCTTTAAGAGTGTTTTACAGCTTTCTTTGTATAGGTTTTGCACATTTATCTTTAGATCTTCATTGAAATTTACATACACAAAATACCATTCCTTTAAAGTTTACAATTTGATGAATTTTGACAGGTGTATATACCTCTGCAACCACTTCCTCAATCAAAATACAGACTACTTCCATCACTTCCAAGAGTTACCTGGTTTTGTACATTTCTTCTTAGGTTTATTCCTAAATATCTTTTTCACTGCTATTATAAAAGAGGTTTTCTTGATCATCATATATTCTAAGGGTTTATTATCACTTTTAAGAAGTTACTCCTTTTTGAATGCTAAACCTATATCCTGAGATCTTGCTGAATTATTTTATTTAAATTAGTTTTGTGATTAAGTCCCCTAAGTTTTTCCACATATAGTATCATGCTATCTTCAAATAGAACTTTATTTTTTATTTTCCAATTCTTATGCCTGTAATCGTTTTTTCTTATCAAATTTCATTGGTTAACCTTGCCAGAACAAGGTAACAGTCCTGGAGACAGTGGGGATCATTTGCTCTGTTTCTGATGCTAGTAGAAATGCCTCCAGTGTTTCCTCATTAAATAAAGAACCATTTTTAGAATTGAGGTATCTATGACTGTCAGAGTTAACAAATTAAAATACAAGACATTCAATGAGATTCTAATTTCATAGAGACAAATAATTTTTAGTACATATATTTTTCATATATGTTTATCTGGCCCTTAATTTTATCATGTTAAGGTATCCATTCGTTGTAATTTTAATATTCTTTTTTTTTTAAAGATTTTATTTATTTATTTGAGAGAGAGAATGAGAGAGAGAGAGCATGAGAAGGGAGAGGGTCAGAGGGAGAAGCAGACTCCCCGCTGAGCAGGGAGCCCAATGCGGGACTTGATCCAGGGACTCCAGGATCATGACCTGAGCCGAAGGCAGTCGCTTAACCAACTGAGCCACCCAGGCGCCCTGTAATTTTAATATTCTTATAGAAAATAAGTGTTGCATTTTTCTGTGGAGGTAATCACATTTTTCTCCTTAGACCTATTAGTAAGAATCCTACCCAGATCCTTGCACTCCTGGTATCAAAAAACCAGGTCATGGTATGTTGTTTTTTTCATGTGGCTTAGGAATTTCTAGTATCGCATTTAAGATTTTTGCCTCAATCATCATAGATGATATAGGTCTGTGGTTTTCTTTTTTGTTCTATCATTATTAAGACCAGGTATTCATGTTATACTTACATCACTAAAAGAATTATTAGTAAATTTTCCATTATTTGCTATACTCTGAAACAACTTTAAAACACTGGGACTGTTTTCTCAAAGTTTAGTTAAGTTCCCTTGTGCAATCATCTAGGCCTAATGTCTCTTTGTGCTTGTTATTTCTCAGTAACTTTATTTCTTCAATGAAAATTCATTCGTTTATGCTTTCTGCCTCTATTCACATCAATTTCAGTAAACTGAATCCTCCTAAGAAATCTTCATTTTTATCTGGGCTTTTAGAAAGAAAACTAATATTGGCAAAACAAACACCAGCTCATATAAACTTCCTCATAATTCATTGCCTATGACTGGCTATTAATAACATAGCATCTAAAAATGTAATTAGGAGGAAAAAGGTAATTAAGGGGAAAAACATAGTAAGATAGTTTTCATGGGAAAATGCTTGCCCAGATTTAGCTCCCATTATTTGTTCGTATTTGCTGCAACTCTGCCACAGAGTGGAAGGTCCATTTAAGAGTATACAACAAAACCCAAGTTATTGTTACACACCTATGTTGGTAGAGGGTTAACTCCCATTTACCCAAGAATGTAGTCACATTTGCTATTACTACTAATATTAGTAATATTACCATATTATGGTAGCTTGTTGGTAGCTTATCTCAATACTTGAGAGAATCTCACTTATCATGTCTCCAAAGTTTGCAGAGCTTCTATTTACTACAAAAGTAGTGTGTGAGGGGGAAAAAAAAAGATTTCGGTAGGATCTTGTCTGAATGTGGTTTCTACAAACTCATCTGCTATACTGAGTCAGTGACATAAATATATCAAATGCTTTCATCTGAATGCTTGAAGAAAAGTGATTTTAACAGTGAAATCACTCTGAATGCAATAAAACAAATTCCCAAACCAAGCAATAAGCACTATTTGCTCTGCTCTATCCCAGATGGGTGTCAGGGGTTCTCCAAATTGCCCCTTTCTCATACACCTCAGACCAGAGACCACGGGTGGTGAGTGAAACAGTCCAAACATTCAGCATTTGGGCAGTCGGGATGGGGATAAAAACCGGCGGCATCTCTCCTGCCTGTACTATGAACATTTTCTGGAAATGCTTTGTGCTATCAAATTCTCTGTCCTGGAATCATTTCATTAAGGACAGCAGTTATTGGGGTTGAATCTTTAACGCTGTTCTTCAATTTCTTTCTTTTTTTTTTTTTTTCATTCTAGCATCTGCCACTCTCAGAGTACTTCAGTCCAAAATTTAAGTCAAACTAAAAATTTTTGTAGGGGCTCCTGGGTGACTCAGTCGGTTAAGCATCTGCCTTCGCCTCAAGTCATGATCTCAGGGTCCTGGGATGGAGCCCTGCATCAGGTTCTCCGCTCAGCAGGGAACCTACTTCTGCCTCTCCCTCTGCTGCTCCCCCTGCTTGTGCTCTCTGTGTGTGTCAAATAAATAAATAAAATCTTAAAAAAAATAATCAAAAAATTTTTGTAACAGACATGTAATGTCTTTTCTTCTTCTCTCCTCCTTCCCCCTGGCTTTACTGAAATATACTTGACATATTGCTTCTTCTTTTCTAAAAGGGGAGAATGAAATAGACACATGTGAACAGTTCAACTTTCATATTCTCCTTATATGTTGGTATGCGACGCAGTTCAGACTGAGGTAAATATGTAAAGTTTTGGCACTCAAGGATGGATAATACAGCTAGCAGTATAAAGTATGATTTCCATATTTTATTGAAAAATCAGAAGGAAGAAGAAACATCTCTTATTATTTCCCAAAATAAATAAAGTAAAACTCAACAGAATAACAAGAAGGATAGGGGAGTTTAAGAGACTTCTCTAAGAAACTGATAGATCATTCAAGCAGACAAATTTGTAAGAATTTAAAAAACTTGAATAAGTAAATTAAAAAGCCTGATGTAAGAGAATACTGCACCCAATAAATAGAATTTATTTTAAGAAGACATTTTTAAAGCACAAAACTAACATTTATAAAAAACAAATGAATGCAACGTATTTTAAAGGGAGTGTACAGAGACTATAGATTCTTTTCAAATTCACATGAAACATTAGAATTCATAACAATTCTCAAATATTATCACACAGAT